TATTTTTACGAGTTGTGCCGTATTTTGACGAGCCCGTAGGGCGAGTCAAAATCCTATCCAACACGCTAAACTGTTATTTCAGTGCGGGCGAATTTCGCGGATATTTATTTACTGGGAGTGCGTGACAGGCGCGTTGTTGTGTTGTTGTTTCTATTTTGTTCATTAAATGAAGAAATTTTCTGATCGTCAAGCTGCTTTTCTTCGTTCGATTCATCCAATGAACTTGGATCTATATTTTCCAGCCCTTCTGACTCTTCGTCGTCGGAAATATGATTCAAATTGTCCGCCATTTATTTTTGTTTTTTTCGTAGCTACAATCCAATTCTTTGCTTGCGCGATGCGAGAAAACCTGTTTAACCGGTACTCTACAATAGACGAGTACAAATACCGAGTGATATTTGTACTCGTCTATGGCGTTATTTGTACTCGTCCAGGTGTAGTTGGATAATAATCAGCGATACTACACAAAAAAACGTCTAATAAGTTATATATTATCCAACACGCCAAACTGTTATTTCAGTGCGGGCGAATTTCGCGGATATTTATTTACGAGGAGTGCGTGACAGAAGTATGTGAAGCGGAACGGAATTGGCGCGTTGTGTTGCTGTTTCTATTTTCTTCATTAAATGAAGAAATTTTCTGGTCGTCAAGCTGTTTTTCTTTCTTCAATTCATATAATAAACTTGGATCTATATTTGCCAGCCATTTTGACTCTTCGTCGTCGGAAATATGATTAAAATTGTCCGCCATATTTTTTGTTTTCGTAATTACAATCCAATTCTTCGCTTGCGCGATGCGAGAAAACTTGTTTAACCGGTACTCTACAATAGACGAGTACATATACCGCGTGATATTTGTATTCGTCGATGGCGTTATTTGGACGTTTCTACAAACGAGTCTCATTTCTATAAACGAGTCTCGTTTCTAAAAACGAGTCTCGTTTCTGTTCACAAACAAATGAGTCTCGCTTTAAATCGTTTATCTAGTTACTTCTAAATCGTGACGATTTAAAATCGAGTGGTTTCCCAGAAAACGTGAGTGATCCCATAATCTTGACGTGTCATGTCATTGACGTGACTTTACACACACGTAGTTCATTTCATCCCAAAATTTACACAGGAAACTCTAAGGATGTATAATACATCATTCTCTGAATTTCACGTAAACTACGCTGAATCGTTCTGATGGATTTTAACAGTTTAATGTACGCAATGTAAATGTAAAATGAGAATTTAAGTTCAAATATTGTACATTTAGTAAATTTGAATCTGTTCTCAAGACTGCAACAAACTGATTGATGTTTGGGACACATACCTCTCTTAGTATTACGTAGGTTTACATGGGACGCAAAGCTCTGAAAAACTCTTTCACTTTGTTCTCTGAACTTTTGCGTAAAATTTAGCCGAATGCTTCGAGTGGATTTTAACAGCTAAACTTCCCCAGTAAAAAGTTAAAACCTGTACATATATTCAATTCCATACCGCTCTCCATTTCGCTTTTAAAGTGAATTTGTGTTATCGCCTTAAAATTTCGCTTCTATGATGTAATTTACTGCGCATTCTAAATTGCGGTCCAGTTGTGATGTTTTTGAAACCGCATACATAAGTAGCATCTTATGAATTGATTGTTTCTTGGTCACGTTCACGGAATTTCAACTCAGTGGGAAAATAAGTAACCCGTTTAAGCGATCGCAGTCGACTAATCTTGAACAAAAATTTAGCTTAATCAATTTTGTAGTCATTTAGAGCGAGTTTGGGCCGAGTTATATTTACAAGTAATGGATCTTTAAAAAAAAAAGAGATCTCCAAATTGTCGCTGATTCTCTACTCAGTGGAAATTTACAGGAATTATCATATCATCTTTTTTGATGGATCAAAAAAGAACTCTATACTCTATGTTCTTCTCTTCCACGCCTTAAATTATATCCCTTCAGCAAACCAATGATATATTGTGTTAGATTACGGATATGAGACCTGTCATTTGTACCTTTTTTAAGGATTCCTTTTCTCAAAGGAGATAGATAACCGAGTGCGTGAAATGCAGAAGCGACGGGAGAGCCATCGAATTGAATTGTATCCGCTCTTGTTTGGTTCCCACTCATTTTCTTTCTACGAGAATTCACCTCTCATCTACTTTTTTTGTTTGCCTGATTTACGGTTTCTTTTTTATTTTCTTTTTGCTCCGCATCTCTAGCGCCAGCTAGCCTGTCCACGATTATAGTATGGATTTAGTGAGTTCAGTATCGAGGAAACAAGGAGAGATATTTGATGTGTTTTGAACCCAGCGCTATTATTGTTCAAACCAGTGTTGTAAACGAAGGTTTTGTGTAACTTATAGACTAGCTACAGTTAGACCCTGAATGAGAATGTACGTGCGAATATTAAAAAAAAACCCTAATTTTTTATATCTGTGGTCACGACTAGGCCAGAATGATCGACGTTTGGTTGGCACACCTGTCAGATCGTTGTCGTTAGTTTATACGCACATTTCATTCATTGTGTCTTCAAATTTACACAGGAGGCTCCAAGAGGGTTCTTTACATCATGGCCTGTTTTTGCTCGTTTATTTAGTCGAATGATTAAGCCGAATGATTCTAGCGAATTTAAACAAATAAATGTACCCGATATAAATTTTGTAAATTTTGAATCTTCTCCAAAAATTGACCTCGAATGACGGATGTTTGGGTCGCACACCGCATGACGTGAGTTAACACACGAAGCTCCAAGGATGTCTTTAATTTGACAAAATTCTGTGAATTGTCACGTAAATTAAACCAAATGGTTCTGATGTACCAGTAAAAAGTTGAAACCTGTACTTAATTTTTCAAGTCCATATTACTCTCTTCATAGCTCTTACAGTGATTTTATAATGTCGCTATGGTATTTTTATCACTAATTCCGGTTAAGTTGTAATGTTTTAGAAACCGCATGCATAAGCAACCTAACTTATCAATTGTCTGTTTCTTGGCCTTAAACCAATTTTAATAGTCATATTTGCGTAAGAATGACCTGTTCATTTCGAGAACCGAGAAAGAAAGCCAACTGTGTTTGTAGCACAATAAACCTACGAGAGCCGTTTATGTTGACTATCCTTTACCTCTTTTAACGAGTCAATCACCGACACCCCAAATATTACGAATTTTTTGTAAATTCGCCTTGGGGAATTTTCTTTCCAGTACGGGAACAAAGCAGGCACCCCCGAGCGGGCAAGATGGCCCCATCTTACCCGCTTGGGCAGCCAATCAGAACACAGGATTCGCTTCATATTGCCCCCACGGAAATTGTAAGCGATATCATAAAACTGGTTCAGTACTACATGCGGTCTGATTAAGATTGTAGAAGATTTTTCCTCACTACTAAATGGGCATCGGGTACTCACAGTCACTAAACGTTATTTTTCAACAAACGCAAGCGTTCATATGTATTCTTGATACTGGTTAGATTGTGGACGTAAGGCCAGTCGACGTCATTTTCACCCCACCAAAGGATTTCTTTACGTAAGGGGGAAAATAAAAAATTGGGTGCGAGAAATACAGAGGCGAAGTGAAACCATCAAAGGAAGAGATATCCCTGACGTTTCCCCCTCGTCTCGCCTTTTACGAAAATCTTCTCTCCTCTGCTTCTCTCCTCTCCTCTTTTGTCTGCTTGTTTTTCAGTAGTTTTTTGTTTGCTTTATTTTCCCTTATCTCTATCGACAGCCGACCTGTTCGTGAGTAAAGTTTGAATAAATTGTTTGAAAGAAGTGAACTGTTTCATGTTTTCTCCAGCTTTTATCTTGGGAGTAGTATTTATGACGAAAGATTTGTAAAGCTAGGACTGCTTTCAGCTCCAAATGAAAATTAAAGCGTGATCTGTTATCAAGACTTAATAGAAGTGATCGACGTTTGAGTGATACACCTCACTGAGTATTGACGTTAGTTTACACAGGAAGTTCTGATGAAGTCTTTAACATCATTCTCTGCATTTTCATGTAGACGTGGCGGAACAAGTTTGATGAATTTAACGGTCGAATGTACCCGTTGTAAATGTGCAATGAGATTTAAAGTGCAAGTTTAGTGAATTTTCTAAGTTTTGAATCTGTTTCTCAAGACTGTGCCAAACTGTTCGATGCTTAAGTAGAACACCTCTCTTTATTGACGTGAGTTTAGGCAGGAAACTCTAAGAAAGTCTTTTACATTATTCTCGGAACTTTCACGTAAACCAAGCCGAATGGTTCTGGTGAAATTTTAACAGCTAAATGTACCCGCAAAAATTTGAAACCCTCATGTTTTCAAATCCATACCGTCTCTCGAACTCCTCTTCGCTTTTACAGTGATTTCATGATATCTTCTACAGGTTTTGCTGCTCTAAAGCGTGATGTTTGCATTGTCGATTGCAGTTTCATTGAGATGTCTTAAAAACCGCATGTATAGATGACGTAAACCCATCTGTCATGTTTGTGAAAGTTCAGTTCCCGGAAAAAAAAAAAAAGTAACCCGCTTAAACGGTTGCGGTCGAATCTACAAGCAAAGATTGAACTTGCGCCGAAAACGTAGCTCATTCTTGCAGTCGTTGGGAGAAATTTTAGCGCTGAAATAACAGTTACAGGTAAAGGATCTTTGAAGAATAAAGGCTGATAGTTTCTAAAGAAACTGTTTGGGGCTGCGTCGGTGGGGTTAACGAAATAATTTGAATATATCAACAAAGTTGAAATGGTAAATTGGCCACCGTTACGATTATAAAAGCTGACGTTTCGAGCGTTAGCCCTTTGTCGTCGATCTTTGAAGAAACTGTGCACTCGAACAAAAAAAAGCCATCGAGCGACAGCGTGACGATGGACACAACAGCACCCGTCAATAAAACAATAGGCTTTGATGTGTACGTGATGTTATGACTTAACTTTGTGAGTTTAAGCGGAAGTTGCGAACACGAAAAGAAACAATATTCACGTGGTCATCAAGTTATTATATAAATGCAAACATCGAAACATTATCAATTAACAAAAGAAGAAAAAAGAAAAAAGAAGTCAGCTAATCTGAGAGGAGAGTAAATCAACGAGAAGTGTTGCAAGTCATAATAAGATTAGGAGTCGAAGTCATCTACATCAGTAGGTACGAACAGTTTTCACTTACACTTCTGTCCCTTACATTTGCTTTCCAGTTAAACTTTCTTTTTCTAAAAGCGCCATTTCATCAAAGTAAACTACATTGTTAGTTTGGTTTAGCATGATCGGTTCACTTTTATTTAACGTTAGCTTAAACGTGTCAAGGTTTGGCTGTGTCAAGGTTTGGCTTTTTGCTTAATTAGTATATATACGCGACTTATGGTTCAAAAATACGAAAAGTATGGGCAGCATCGAATCCATGATTGATATTGGCTTCAAGATTACGAATTAATCAAAATTATAACAAAACTCTTGAACGTGATTTGTTTTCACCACTGAGTCCGATTTGAGCAAGAATCTGCGATATAAATTTCAAGTGCTAATTTTATGTTTAAAAGCTGGAATTTCTGGATATCATGCACTCCTCTTGTAAAACGTAATACTGCTATCATTCTCAATGGCTATTGAACCCCAGATCATTCTAAAGTGTCATCAAAATTTCTTATTCGGTAACTAACCGGTAGTATCTAAGCTGCCAAAGCAAAGTTTTAACTGTGAATACCACACGCAAGCGAGAGCTGTAGGGAATGGCACGCGGAAGAGTCTTCTCTCTCAATGGACCAAGATTTTTAACAGTATTTGCTAAAAACCAAATTTAAAGAGAACAGCAAATCCTTGTTCACTGTAACTTTACTCTGACTGTGCGACCAATCCATTACCACTCAATCACTCATCAATCAGTTTATCGATATAAAAGAGTGGGATGGAGTAACCAGATTTATTAAAAATTAGATCATTGGATAATGCAATTCAAGACTTTTAATTGGCTTAGCCATTATGGTATATCAGCCAATATACCATAATCTACAAATATGGCAAGCGTACGTGTCAGCTTAAAATTAAAAGGGAGCTAAAAATTTAATAAAATTTAATAATTTAATTTAACGTTTTTAATAAAACAATTATTGCACTCGCGCTTGTTGGATAAGAGATGATTATAGCCAACGAGGCGCGTAGCGCCTCGTTGGCTATCTATCATCTCATATCCAACGCGCGCTCGTGGAATAATTGTTAAATATACAACTCACTCAGAGGTTCGCATTACCTTAAATGTAAAGTTTACAAAAAATTCACCGGAAATAACTGAGTTAAGTTCTAGTAATGTAAATTGAGTGTAAAATATATCAAGTGAGTGACACACATTACGAACTTGCTTTTCTAATCTGTGATTAACTAACAGCTCAAAGAGTCCATGGCTGAGGAAACTGGCCTTGCTTTCTCTGGAGGTGGTATCAGGTCAGCGGCGCTATGTTCTGGAGTTCTGCGCAGGCTCTTACAGCGCAAGGCCAAGATCGACTACTTAAGCTGTGTTTCAGGGGGAGGTTACACAGGCACGGCCTACCTGGACTGGAAATACAGACATGGAAAGAAAGACGATGCAAAATGGCATCAGGAGTTCTTCGATCATATGAGAGAGAGAGCTGGATTGATGTGCAACTGGCAGAAACCTTTGCAAGGAATCTTACAAACCATCATAATACTTTCCTTGATATTATTCACTGCAGTGATAATGCCCACAATGGTCTGGGGGTCCTACGTGTTGCCGCTGGCTTACATTATCGATTTGACTTACGGAGACCTGTTGCGGGCTAAGGATGAATGTTCAAATGGTTCAAACTTACCAAACATTAATGGCATGACAAGTATTCATGGTAATTCGGCCAGCTCGCTTACCCAGTGCAAACTCCAAATTGGTCCAGCTGCACATCGGCGCATCACTTTGTTTTGCACCTTTTTGGTCTTGTTTGTTCTTTTCTACCTCTTCTCTAAGAAAACTGAAAGATTTCACTCCATATTGTATTTCATATCAGTGTTTTGTGGTCTTGGTTTTGCTTTCACTTTCAATCCGTACTTCATTTTCTCCTATCTTGATGGGCTCATCTTTTGGTTGAAGTTTCTTATCTTTGCGTTTAGCGTTTGGATATGGATATTTTTTCCCGTTCTTAGACATAGATCTTCGTTTTTCGTGATTGTCTATTTGTACTCGTATGTGATATATTGGAAGGTGTATAAGGTGTCCCTTCTTAGTGTCCAGTACTCAGATGACTTGTTCTATCGACTTCTTTTTGCTTCTGGAATTGTTCAATGGATTATACCGATGCTGGGAGCTCTTCAACAACGACTCATTTACGTGTTTAACAGGTGAGTCTGACATAATAATTCAAGCAGGTATTCTTTCCCGTTCTTAGACATAGATCTTCGTTTTTCGTGATTGTCTATTTGTACTCGTATGTGACATATTGGAAGGTGTATAAGGTGTCCCCTCTTAGTGTCCAGTACTCAGATGACTAGTTCTGTCGACTTCTTTTTGCTTCTGCGTAATACGACTTGAGAAAAATACGACTTAATAATAGTAATACGACTTTGCTTCTATGTAATACGACTTGAAAAAATTATCAATTTCGGTTTATGGTTTGTGCCAAAGGCTTAAGACCAGCAAACAATGAAGTGTCTTGTAATTTAATCATTTGAAATGTTTTTTCTTCTTTGTAAACGTCAACAGACGACAATGATTTTAAAGAAATTGGAAATAAGAACACACTCATGAGAAAGTTCTTTGCAGATTGTTGGCTAGATCTATGAATCTAAAACACTAATTTTTGTGAAAAGAATAAACCTGAGATCACAGAGAAAGGAGAAGAGTTCTTAAAGAAGAGATGCAAAATAATTTGAACTCTGAGGTAGCCCATACGTTACCCCATATAGGGAATCGAATCATTGTAAAGGGGAGAAGCAGAATAGCCTTGAACCCCTTTTTTTGCGTATTCTCGACCGAGAGAGTAACACGTACAACGTAACTTTCAGATGGAGGCTTCAGAAGGCCTTTTACACAAAAGCCAGTGTTGGTAAGACCGGATGTCTCGGCATCGGGATTGAGGACATCTTTCTTGTGACATGCAGTTCGGACACAAAGCACAAGCGACTTAAAGATGATGAACCTGGACCCCTGAATCTAGGGGACTTGGAAGGATTGAAGCCCGAATACTTATCAAACATCGTCGTCAATGAATGGAAAACAAAAAAGTCAGATAAGGACGCTTACGAGCTACTGATCATGTCACCCACAGGAATAGAGCGCCTGGATCAAAGCAAGCAACAGTTTGAGGACAAACTTAGTCCTTCTGATATTGACCTGTCAGCTGCCATGGCAACCTCAGCCGCTGCTGTTGCTAGTAACATGGGATCATACGATAAGTGTACGGAAGGTTTTAAACAGCTGCAAACCGTGCTCGGACTGGGGATGGGTTCTTCTTTGGTGTCTGATCTCCATTCTCTGCAAAGAGAATCTTGCCTTTTTAAGGTAAGGAAAAGAAAGTAATATTTATCGGTTTCTTTAGTTTCAGTCTATTTTACATGAAATGAAACTGATCTCGAAACTTTCTTTTTTTTTTCTGTGAGTAACCTGTCTTAAAAGTTGCTCAGAACCCTAAAATTCTAAATCCCATCTTAGAGCGTAGAATTTAGCGTGTAGGACATGATAATGGCTTTGACAATATGAGGGTTTCTTAGATGTTCATTAAGATCTAAGGTTTATTTGTCTGGCAATTCATACCTTACTTTTTTCAAAATAGATAATTCCCTTAATTGTGGAAGTGATTCGTGTCCTTCCCCTGGTAACCTTTCCAGTTGTTTACTTCGCTGGAGGAGACGAGAAGTGGGTCGAAATTGGTGTTGCAATATTTTGGGCTTTGATGTTGGTGTTAAGTATTATATCCGTCCAGAGGACTGGGGATGAAGAGCCCGGATATGTAGAGAAAATAACGAGGTAAGAGTAATTAAGTTCGGTTGAATTATGGTTTGTTTAATCCACGGTAGGATCGCTTGGTTTCACCTTTTTTTCAATTGATATTTTTCTCTTTTCTTTTCCAGATGGTTCATTGTCCACGTGGGTTTCGTTCGGTTTTTAAGACAAATGTTTTTTGTGACGAATGTTGGTCCTTCCCCGCCCGCTATTCTGCGACTCAGTGATGGTGGCCATATTGAAAATCTTGCCATACTTCCGCTATTGAAGAAACGCTTAAAGAAAATCGTTGTGGTAGACGGAGGCCATAAAGAGTCTGACCAAGAATGGGGAGACTCCTTACTAACAGCCCTGTCTTTAGCACGTCAAAAACTGGATTGCTCCTTCATTGGTTTAGATGGCCGTGACGTCATAGAGGACCTGAAAAATAAGTTTGTCAACAAGCCTCTGGGACACCAGCCAAGAAGTTACAGGTCAGCAACTTATTAAACGCCATTTCGCCATATCGATAAAAACGGATGTTTTTTCGAGAAAATGAAAATTATGTTATCTTATAAACCTTACGAACAAAACAAACTTCATAGGCAAATTTCACTTTCATAGAAGAAACGTCTAGTTCTTTGTATCTAATTCTTTTTTAATTTTGAAAAAATCACATTATGATTCATTCGATTTTTGAAGTCAAGCAATTATTAGTGGCACTCACATTATCATAATCTGTATCATAAATGCGTCAGAGAAAAATTATGTCGCTATGTTGCAGGTTTAAGGTCCATTACTTTGAAAACGAAACAGTTCTTGAAGAGGCAAGAAAAGTCGGTGAGGGAGAAATTCTGTTAGTCTCTCCAAGACATCCTGACAAGGGACTCAAAAGACAAGAATGCGTGACACGGAAAGAATCGCTGCGTGACGTTGACTTAGAAGCAGGTGAGTGGGGACTGGGTCCGCAACTGGATGCAGAAGAAGCAGACAAATTGACCTTTTGCTGTTGTGAATGTTGCCATGGCGACTCTCTTCAATGGCTGTCAAAGATGATGTGTGGCACATTCCCTCAACACACTACGGTCAATCAGTTTTTCACTCCACGCATGTTTGCTGCCTATCATTCGGAAGGGTTTAACGCATGCATTGAATCTGAGGCCGCTGAGTTTCTGGACACTGCTCGGCAAGGAGAAATTAGAGGTCAGAATCAATTTGGAATGGGAGTTTGAATTCTGATCGACGAGAGCGAACTGTAAATTTAAACAGGAACAATGTAGCTGTAAGAGATTAATAACGTGAAATTGTACAGTGCATGTGCCAGGAGGAATTCAAAGCGAGCACTGAATTACCTTGAAGTATTTTGGTAAAGGCACGAGAGTCGTTTTTCCATATACCGAGTTCCAATGATATTGATGATTACTATAACAAAAGTTCACGTTGATAAAATATCTATTTATCTATTTATTGATATATAAACGTTTAACAGAGTTAATATACTGAGTTCATGTGATATTGATGATTACTATAACAAAAATTCATGTTGCTAAAATATCTATCTATTTATTCATATCTAAACGTTTAACAGAGTTAATATACCGATTTCAAATGAAATTGATGATTACTATAACAAAAATTTATGTCGCTAAAATATCTATTTATCTATTTATTCATATCTAAACGTTGAACAGATGACGATTAAATCTACGCTGCGAGGAACATTGTTTTTAAAAATGCAAACATATTTCTTGATTTTTATTTATTGAATTATGACGCCATTGCTGACCAAATCTCCGGCCATTTTTAACTGGTTGTAAATCAGATTTTTCAATTTTCTACATTTTCTTCTGGATGTTAAATTCATTCTTATATCATTCTATTTTACTCTTACGTTAACAATATTTAATGCATTTAAGGCCTCACTTTTT